CATCTGGTTGTAGCTCCACGACGGGGGCCACCCGTTGGCCGGCAGGTCGTACATCCACCGGCCGCCATGGGCCAGGATCATTGTATTGACGCTGGTGCCGCCGCCCAGGCCCTTGCCGCTGTTAGGCGCGTCGGCCAGGCCGTAGCGGCCGGGGTCGCCAGCCACGCGGTTGGGCCACACGTAGGTGGTGTCGCTCGAGAGGCCGATGTTGTTGCTGCGGGAGTTGAACCCGCCGAAGGTGCCCAGCGGATTGTAGATGTTCGGATCGTACTGGGTGTTGTCGCCGGCCTCGAGAAGAAGCACTCGGGCGCCCGACCTGGCCAGCTTGCCCGCGAGCACGGCTCCGGCGCCGCCACCGCCCGCAATGACGTAGTCGTAGCTGCGGCGGATGTCAGTACCGGCCTGGGCCAGCGCCAGCATCATCACCACCAGGGCGAAGAAGGAAAGCAGAAGCTGGTTCATCGCGTCGGTCGCGAGTGCTCCCTTGAGTGATTAGTGGGGTCGTGGGCTGTGTGCGGATGTGTTTGTGACTAAATGTTTGTGTGGTTTTGTTTATTTAAGTGGCTGCGTTGTCTCGGATTAGACCCGCCTTAAGGCTGGAATGTCCCGATTGAATGCCTACATGCAACCGACGAGTCACCGTGCAATGGCACCGTGTCGTGCGGCTATTCCTGGTCGAACATTTGATAACGATTGGCTGGGTGGCCATCTCTTATTTTCGGAAACCCAATGATTGGTGAGGTGCAATTTTTCAAGTCAACCAACACCAGTTCATCTTGCTTACCGACGCGACCAGAGGTTCCTATTGGCTGTCAATTTAGAGGTCCGTGCTGCAACGAGACCGTTCCACCAATGACGCGTTGCAGAGCTCCAGGTTGCACTGGTTCAGCCCTCATCAGCTCCACTGTCTGGAGGTGATCGGAGTAGTCAACTTCATCGAAGAAGCAACAAGAAGGACAAGAATCAAAGAGTTAAAACAACAACGGAAGACGAAGACAAAGATGAAGGGGCTGAGCACGACGGCCTGGCTGCTGGCCATCTTCCTCACTCTGTGCGCCGATCCAAAGTGGCCAG